GTGCGTGCGGGGCCGGCCCAGAGCCGGTTCTGGAGCCGGGACCCGGGCCGAGGGAGGACTGGGGCCCCGGAGCCGGGTTTGGAGAAGTACGGGGTGGAGGGCCCGGCCGGGACAGGGCTTGTGGAGAGAGTGAGAGATACGGGCTCTGGAGGCAGCGGAATTGGCCTGTTCTCGGCTGCAAGAAGGGACTGTGGATTAAATGGAGGTAGATGAAAAGCATTGGCGAGCTTGGGGCCAAAAGGCGACTGTTAATTTTAAGATGATATTTGGGAAAGAGGAACTGGGGAAGTGATAATAGCCGTGAGGGACCTGTCTGCTTAAGGAAAATCGTAAGGTTTGAGGATGAGGGAGAAATGAACTTTGAAGGGAAATGGAAGTTAGGGCGTGTATTTGGTTTGTTGGACGTTAACGAGCCCGTAGTGTTCCGGGCAGTACAATGCGGAGCTCTGTAACGAATCTCATTCACGGTCTAACGCATCTAGAGAGGTGGGTACTCAATACCGTGGTTGTGGTACAGTGGTGGGAAGATCAAGGAAACTTCACGGTAAGGGAAGTCCTCGAACAGTTTTTTGAAGGGTGAGTTCTGGTTTGGAGGGCATTCAGGGCGCGGGGCATCTTTACCACTAGAGGATTCGTGAAGTGATTGGTGGAAGTTAAATTGGATTGATGGGTAAAGGACCACAATCCCTTCTCTGAAACCTTTGGGTTTAGGTGTTCTGGATTTCAGAATACAGTTCCTTGAAGTTTTATTTTTCCTAGTAAGGTCTCTTTCATAGTACTTCAGTGGGGTCTGGATTTACATCTCACCAAACACTTTAATTCTGCACCAAAACACATGAATATCACAATAGATAATAGATGATTAATTATCTCTTGCAGCTCAGGTTGCATAGTGAAGTAAAATTTCAAAGCTTTTGAGTTTTGGAACTGTAGGGAAGGGATTGTAGATTGGGATTTATTTTGTGGAGTGTAATCTGTGTACTAGTGGGCCATCTGGAGGGGCGGGCGGGCTGGCTGGCTGGCTGGCTGGCTGGCTGGCTTTGCTTGCTTTCTTTTTCTTTCTTTCTTTCTTTGGTTTTTTTTTGAGACAGGGTCTCACTATGTAGTTGAGACTGACCTGGAACTCACTATGTAGCCCAGGCTGGTCTCGAAAGGAAGGGCTTTTATATAAGGAGGATAAAAGGATCAGATTTGTGATCCAGAAAGATCATTTGAAGCACTTGAGGAATGAAGGAAGGCCGGGGAGACCAGTTAGGAGAATCTTGGCGGTAATCTAGGTGAGAAATGATCATTTGGAACGGGTAGTAAAGGACCTGTAGCAGGTGTTACAGAAGGCACTCTTTCAGTATGTGTCGCGAGCGTCAGAGATGCGAACATTCTCTGGATCCCATTCAGCAACGACTGCGAGAGGTATTTCGGATGCTAGAACCTTTTTATTATTGCGTTCACCATCAGTCACACAGAAACACGACCAAACAAAAGCAAATAATAATATAAGTAATAATATGTAAGAATAATGCCAACCCATAGCACTTTCAGCAAGTCAGCCAGTTCATTCATAGCTTATAGAGTCCATACGACCTGAACGTGTGGTCTGTGGTCCGTGGTCCCCGGGTTCTCGTCAGCAGGGCCGGTCCGCGACATTCGATGACCGATGTGCTGCGGTTTCGGTTTCGGTCTCGGGTCTCGACAGGGTCTGGTCTAGCTTCGAGCCATCTCGAATGAGAGAGCTGCTGGTGGGCTCTAGTCGTGGTCTTTTATACTCTTCTTTGGCATTTATCACACATTTCACACATTGCTATCACTCCAAGCAGGTTGCAATGACTTCACTCTCGCTTGTCACACTCTTAACACACTTCTTATGACATCACTTCAAACCTAATCACTTCAAACACTTCAAACTAGGTTGCCAGCACTCGAGCTGTGCTTCTTATCTTGCCTGCTACCTGCAGCGTGGGGAATTTCCACTTGCTGCTTACATGTTCATTACAGTATGGGAGATGGTAGGGGCTTTGTGAAACACTGGGTTTGACTGTCTCCTTTGCTACTTCCCGCTTACAACTTGGGCAGTTTAATTATTCTTAGCCTCAGTTTTCATATTTGTAAAGTATGGACAAAAATACTTCATAGATTTATTGAGAGAATGAAGTGAGAAGATAGGTAGTGACTAGTAGTGATAGCTACTAATGAAATGGCAGCTTATTATTAGTGACTGATGGTAAGTGGCCGAAGGAATAGAGGTGGAGGGTAGCACTGAAACGTGCGAGGGAGACATATGTTGGATGAATTCCAGGCTTCTTGCTTATTTAAGTGGTAGTTCTCTTAATGCATATAAACAGTTCTGGCACAAGGCAGGTAGCTCAGGGTAGAGTGGTTGCCTAGTATGTCCGAGGCCCTGGGTTTTGAGTCTTCAATGCCACCCCCCACCCTAGGTACAGAAGTACCGAAGTACATGTGTGTGGTGAAGAGTGGGTAAAATGGTTTCAGTTCTGGCGGTCTTGATTTTGAAATATTATCGAAATGTGCTGCTAATGTTAAGAACAAGATTTCACCTGGAGTGGTGGCACATGCCTGTAATCCCAGCACCCTGGGAGCTTCAGCGTTGGGAAAACCTGGATTAAGAGATTTAGAGGGAACTCAGGATGCAAATGTTGTTTGGTATGACTGAGGGGTTGAGACAATAAAATTTGCCTCTCTGCATTTTATGTAGGAGAGAAGAATAATTTGTAAATTCTCTCTCCTTTCTTTTTGAACTAAAATAAGTAGAATAGAATAAATCAACATTGCTTTCTAAACACTAAAACAAATTGAGGGCGGAATCCTTTTTTTTTAATGTGCGGGGATCGAACTTGGGTCCTTGTGCTTGCGAGGCAGGCACCACAACCACTGAGATAAATCCCTGGCCCTGGAGCACTACGTTTTTAGGTAGGGAGTCCAGAAAATGTTTTATATATATTCTTTGTTTTTAAGATGGGAGCAGGAGAGCTGGGCAAGGTGGCATATTTAGTGAGACCTGTCTCAAAATAAAAGGGCTAGAGGTGTAGTTTAATGTAGAGCACTTATCTAGCATATGTCCCTGCCCTGGGTTCAGTCCCCAGATCTAGTGGGGGGTGTGCAAGAATTTAGCTGGAGAACAAAATGGACTTAGGGGACACTGTTTTACCATTTAATTTGTTTTATTTTGTGTGTGTGTGTGTGTGTGTGTGGCAGTGAGGATTAAATCCAGGGCCTTTGTCCTGAGCCACATCTCCAGACATTTTTTCTTTTTTCTTTTGACACAGGGTCTTGTCAAGTCACTAAGTTTCCCGGGCTGGGCTCAAACTTGGCATCCTTCTGCCTCAGCTTCCTAGAGTGCTGTGGTTCTAGACATACGTAGTTATGCTTGGCTTTCTTCAGTTTCTTTGTAATGTAGCTAAAAATCATTCATTTATATCTCATTAAGTCAAATTAAGTGATGATTGTGAGAGTGCTTTATAGCTGAAATGCTCCAAAAATGCAGATATTGAACAACTGTGATTTTTATCTTCTCTGATCTGGCAAACCATAGCTGGTAGTCTAATTCACCATCTTTCTTAGTTGATTCTGAAAGAAAGTATTAGTATCCTTTCTCTCCTAGCTGGCTTTTCTTTTTTAAAGAAAATTTGTGCTTCTCTTAATAAACTTAGCCCACGGACTCTTGCTATTCTCTTTAGATTGATGGTTCTCAGAAGTGTGGTCCTCATAATAGTATTGTCATCATTGTTATCTAGTACTTTGTTAGGAATGCAAATACTTGGCCCCATTCCAGACTTTTTGACCAGCAGTCTGCTTTAGCAAGTCCTCTAGGTGGTTGTGATGCACATTAAATTTTGAGAACCACTGTTGTTGAATAAAGGGGCCCTTCAAATATCTCCTCAGAAAGGATTTTTTTTTTCACAAAGGATTTTTTGCCTGCTGATTTTAAAGTACTTCTCCAGATCCCTTGACTTAACTTTTTAATCTACTCAGCACAGGTGAAATATAAAATATTTATTTACTTTTTCAGTTTTCTCTCCCATCCTTCCTTCCTTCCTTCCTTCCTTATGTACCGGGGATCAAACTCAGGACCTTGTGCTTGTGAAGCAGGCAGTGGTGCCACTGAGCTAAACCCCCAGCCCTACCTTTTCAGTTTTCTTGAGACAAGTAGGGTCTCACTATGTAGGCTGGCCCTGAAGCATGTTTTTTGAGATGGTCTCTTTCTGTGGGCTGGCCTTAACTCTGATCCTCCTTTCTCCAGAGTGCTAGGATTACAGCCACCATGGCTGGCTTTCAAAATGTTTATTTTTGTTTCCTTAGTTGTCTCATTTCTCATTAGAATATTGGAGAATGTGTGTTCAGTAAATGGCTGAAGATTACCTGGAGAGTTTCTTTTTTTGTTTGATTATTTTTTTGAGACAGGGTCTCACTATGCAGTTCAGGCTGGCCTTGAGCTCTTGTAGCTGAGGTTGTCCTCAACTCTTAAGTGATCCTTCTGCCTAAGCCGCCTAGTGCTGGGATTACAGGCATGCACCTGAGAGTTTCTTGAAATGCTGGTTTGGGAGTTCCTTTGTGAAACCTTAGATTGAGTTGATTTGTGGTCCATCTAGGTGTCTGCACCTTGAATAAGTACCTTATGTAGTTCTGGTTCAGATGGTACCTACAATACTTTGAGGAAGTTGACTTTAAATAGTTTAAGGAGAAAGTCTGACCTGTTTACTCTTGGAGTATTTGAGAAATCAGAATAAACTAGTAAATATTTGTTGAATCTCAGCAGTGAACTTTTTAAAGTGCTCTTGTGATTTTTTTTTTCTTAAATTGGTGCTTTCTTTTGGGCATTGAATCAATAGCTATCAGTAAATACAAAGTTATACTATAAATTAGTAAACTTACAGTAAATTTACAAATTTGAATTGATGTTTCTGAACAAACTGTCAAATTAACTCTTAAAATGAGTTTTTTGTAGTGGAGTATCTGAGAGTACTGTGAAATATGTGACTGGAGAACTGGATTGGGAGTAAGTTGCAAAGTTGCATTGCTTTCTTTTTTTCTTTTTTTAGCCAGGGTTTTAATGTGTATATTTCAGGCTGGACTTGAACTCACTATGTAGCCCAGGCTGGCCTTGAACTCTCAGATACCCTGCCCCAGCCTTCTGAGTGCTAGAATTAAGTTGCATTGGTTTCTGCTGTTAACAATCTCTAACTCTTGGGA